CTCAGTGTCATTCACTTGCGTGTTCTTACTACGTGCAGAAATATCAAACAGTTATTTTTATAACTGATTTTTACTTTTATTTATTTTTAATGGAGTTGGTAGGTTAGAAAAGCCAAGTTTTACACAAAGGGGAATTAAGATTTTGTTCTACATTTCTTTTTCTTGCTTTCTTTCATTCTGTTTTAACTGAAAAAGATTATAACATTTCTTCAAGCCTTTGTGGACCTCTTGTGAGGACATTGCAGGGTCCCCGGGGATCCGCAGACTGCAGGTTAAGAACCAATGGACTAAAGGTTTTTATACAGTCGTGCCCCCCTTTACTACGCATTACGGCAAATCTGCATTATGACGATCTTTTTGCGATTGCAAAACGATGGTCTGAATAGGGGGTTTTCACTTTGCGATGATCGGTTCCCTGCTTCGGGAACCGATTCTTTGCAAAACTATGATTTTCAGACAGCTGATTGGCAGTTTCAGAATGGGCGGCAGGTAAATAAAATGGCTCCCTGCTGTTTTCTGGGATGGATTCCTTGCTGCACAGGCACCGAAAATGGCTGCCCTATGGAGGATCTTTGCTGGACTGTGAGTTTCCAGCCCATTGGAACGCATTGAAGTGGTTTCAATGTGTTTCAATGGGCTTTTTATTTTCGCATTACGACGTTTTTGTTCTACAGCGATTTCACTGGAACGAATTAACGTCATAATGCGAAGCACCACTGTAAATTACTTGAATATTGTGGGAGTAAATGTAGAAGCAACAGTAAGATCTGGTGCGCTGCAGAAGTTAGAGTGTCCTACTCAGATTCAAGAGATCTGGATTCCGAATGCTGCATGACCAGGAAACTCATTGGTTAATCTTGTTCCAGTCACAATCTCTCAGCCTGGCATTCTCTGTAGGGTTGTTGTGAGAATATAGTGCACAGGAATGGAATCATGTATACTGGTTTCAGGTCACTGGAGGAGAGACAGGATATGATTGTAATTATGCAACTTGTGAAGTAACCCATGCACGGGTACTGCCTTATACTGCCTGAAATTCCTTTGCTTAGTATGATAAGTTGTAACTAGAGTAGGCCCATTGAATCATTGGGGATTTGGTGAATCAACTCGCATGTAAATTCTGTTGATTCAGATAGGCCTTGAACTGTGACTTGCTTTAGCCAAGTAAGTTACAGTTAGAATAGACCTATTTGAATTAATGGATCCTGCAGAGGAGTTGACACATCAAATCCCCAGTGATTCAATGGGCCAATTCTGGTGTGATTTAGTACACTAAGCCAAGGGACTTCAGCCACTGAGACAGACTTATTGGTTTATCTAGTTTCATATTGTCTGATTACACTGGCTGGCAGCAGTTCTTTTGTATTTCAGGCACCAGTTTTGCTCCATAATGAACTACGTATACTTTTCCGGGTTCTTCAGGCACAGTGTGTGTTCCACTGCTGAACGACATGACTACTGATGTGAAAAGAAAACAACCACTCCATTATCTTAGTCCTCCCTCTTTAAAAATGTAGTATTTACAGTATTTCCTATTGTAACTTTGAAGCCGTGGTCCATATTCACCACTCACTGTGTGTGTAGCAAATAGAGCTGAAGCACCAGTTCAACATGGCCATTTCCCCCTTCCAGCCTGGGAAAAACCTTTTGATCTTCATCTGCTGCTTTGTTTCTGAACTCAGCAAAAGCTGAGGATACGTGGCAGCTGCTTTTTACTGCATAAGGGGGTCAAGGCTGCTGCCTTTTCCAGCCCCCTGAGAAAACAGCTAGGATACGTGAGCTTGTATCTGAACAGACCAGATTTTTTCCTTTCTTCTGGAGGAAATGTTTTCTTTTGCATTTCTTAATGGGACATCTGCTGCATCCTGGCTTTCTATTAGTATTGTAGTCTCTGTGTTTGGAAGCATGAACCTCCTCTGTGTCATCTGCTCTCTTTAGTGAGTTGAGAATCATACTGTCAGACTAGCAATTTGAAGTCTGGCCTCACTTAGAAATTGGTGGGAAGACATGTAATATTTTTAAAAGACTTCTGAAATCAAGCCAGGGTAGGTTCAAAATTAGCTGCCAGTCACTCTATCAGAATATTTGGGATTTTTCTCCCATATAGAATAGCTGGAATTAGAGATGGGAATGAATTAATCTGCATGGCACCTCCCCCCAGGACCAGCTGGCCCACTCCTCTTGTGTCGTGCACCATTGGTGACCTCCTTTTCCAGCAGCTCACCAGTTTGGTCAAGAGATTGGGCTGCCTTTCCCCACCTCCTCAGGCAGCTGACCACTCCGATGAGGAGGCAGGATGGAGATCATCCCCATGCAGCTGATGAGGACACCAGTGGCGTGAGTTGCAAGGTGAGTGAGGCAGCTGGCACAGGGAGTGGGGGGAGGTCTGCACGGCACCTGTGGTGCCACGCAGGTTAGTTTGTGCCCATCTCTAGCAGGGATGTCCAGTGCAGATGAGATAGACGAAACAGTAGTGGAAGGGTGATTACAAATATCCTCTGGTACTGGTCTGTCGTCTTACAGTGCTGCCTGGGAAAGTTTGCCTCGCCTTAAGTGATCAGATGGAAAGCCCAGAAATACTGGAAGGAAGGAAGAACTAACGAGGCCGTAATTTGAAGGCTAGAAGGGGGATATCAACAGTTGTTGGACTGTAGCTCTCAGTCTTATGGCTCACTATGCTGGTTAGACCTGATAGGAGTGACAGTCTAGTCACATTTGCAAAGCCACATCTCCCCACTCCCGAGTCAAGGCAGGAATGGAAATTGAAATGTTTGTCTATGTGTACACATCTGAAAGAATTGGCCATGTTCCGCCTTGAGAAAAGAAGACTGAGGAGAGATGTGAACTTTTCAAATACGTTAAAGGTTGCCGTGCAGAGGAGGCTCAGGAACTGTTCTCAGTCGTCCCAGAGTGCAAGACACACAATAAAGGGCTCAAGCTAAAAGAAGCCAGATTTTGGATGAATATCAGAAAAAAAACAATAGAGCAATAATGTTAGAGCAGCATGGCAATGGAACCAATTGTGAATATCGGAAAAAATAACAATAGAGCAGTAATGTTAGAGCAATATGGCAATGGAACCAATTACCATGGGAGGTAGTGAGCGCTCCAGCATCGGGGGCATTCAAGAGAAAATTGGACTGATCTCTGTCAGATCTGCTTTGATTTGGATTCCTGCATTAGGCAGGGGGTTGGACTCAATGGCCTTATAGACCTCTTCCAGCTCAATTCCTCTGTGATTCTATGATCTCATTCCTATTTTGTGCATGTTTTGGCTCCATTGATGGTAGCATATCTTCACTTCTTTGTTTCCTTCTGCCTTTCCTGTTTTGCACATTATCTACATGGGCTGGGTTATGCCCGCATTCTCCCTGGCCTGGTCTGCTGTGGATTGTTTGGGAGAAGGAGGAGATGTGTAAAAAGGCTTGATTTGGTCCTTGCTTCTTAATATTTCTCACTTCTGTTTTCCATCTGTCTCTCCTGCATGCCATGTACAAGCCAGGAAATGCCTGCTCCGAGCCTTACTCTGAATGCCTTGGCCACTAATATCCACAGGTCTTGCTCTTCTGCTGTAGAAAGTATGGAAATCAGGCCAGTCTGGACTGACTCTGGCAACAAAGAGTACTGAACAAAAAGGGACTACTAGTTCTCTGTTTGGAGCAGACTTTGAGGAGAAAGAAGTCTGATCCGTATCTGAAGCTGGGGATGACAGGAATGTGTGGCTATTGTTTCAGCTGCCTTTTCAAAATGCTTCCAAGCCTGTATTTACAAAGGCTTCCTTGTTACTGTGTGGCAGAAAGAACAATAGGGATGGCAGTTTCCCAGAGTTCACTTCTGTGCCAAACTCTTGAAGAGTCTCAATATTCTGTACCATTTGAAATTTCTCACCATCCTTCTAAGGAAATATGTAAAATATATATATTTTAAAGAATCTGGCACATTTTGAGTCATAATGAAGTTTTCGTTAGGGATTACTTATTCCAGAGAGAGGAAGAGAACTCTTCTTGAACATGGTTACAGAGTTTCTTGCATAAGCCTCTCTTTTTATATATTGTTGTATTGCTGTTTTTTAAATGTTTGAAAATATTTTCAATTTACCTTTAAAAGTGTCTGAATTATGTTGCATTCTTTTATGTGATTGTATCCCTTGTACCTTGTGCTAGTATCTGTTGATATGCAGTAGGTTATAAATACTTTAATAAATCAAAATAGCCTTTATGTGGTGATGTATGTGTGTTTTCCTGATCCCCCCATCTCTCTCTTGCATTGAAAATAAGTGTTCTAGTATTTAAAGTAACACTAAAGACCTGTGACTAAATTAGTAAGTTCAGCAGCAAATGCCATGTCATTTAGTTCCTCCTGTAGGCTCAATATTTCAGATTCCAGAGCGGTAGCAGTTCTGGTTTGCAGCAGGAAAAACAAGAATGAATGCTGTGGTCTTACAAAGACTAAAATGTGTTGAGACATAATATGTTTGAGAGCCAGGACCTGTTTTGCTGCATTTGTGAAGCGGTCAGCTAAACCAGGGAGGTATGCTGTAAGTGGTTATTCTTAAGAAAATGAATTTTGGTTTTATGTTGGTTGACATAATAGGTTTGAGATCCAGGACTTGTTTTGCTGCATTTGTGAAGTGGTCAGCTAAACCAGGCAGGTCTGCTGGAAGTGGTTATTCATAAGAAAATGAATTTTGGTTTTATGTTAGTAAACCCCCCCCCCAAACAAGTTTAATTTTTATTAATGCCACAAGATTGGAACAGTTTCTAAAAGTTGTTGTTCTCAACTTGCAGAAATTTTGGACTTCAGCTCACAAAATCCCTAACAGTGGGCTACACTGGCTGTGGCTTCTAGGAGGTAAAGCCCCCTCGCCCCAAATCTAGCCAGCCATAGAAACATTATCTTAAAGCACCCAGATTTTTCCTTCCAGATGAAAAATGTGCCATTTTGTCACTTGCATTTTCTCAAGTTGATGCTGAGACTTCCTCTGCTTTTTTGTTGGCCAGACTCCTTACCATTGACTTAGGGTGTTCAACCAAAGTCCACAGAGCATGGAAACATTTCCTTGGCAATGTCTCTGGGAAGACTTCTCCGACGTGCCTCTTCTAAAGCATCTGACCTCTTGACCTTAAATGCCAGCAGTGGTGGTGGCTCATCTTCCATCTTGGATGGGGAAATCATCTACTCCAAGAATAATGTCTGTGTCCATCCGCCAGAAATGCTGCAAGGCATTGTGGAACATCACCCAGGTAAGGGTGTGCAGAAAAGCGCTGAGGATTCAGTTCTATGCAGAGCATAGTCTCTGTAGCTTAACCTGTTCCCTTTCTTAGCTGTTGTATCTTGAATTGTAGTCTTGCTGTACTCAAGGGTCAGTGGGAGGTTGATCTCTCTTGCTAGTAGGGCAAGTAAATATCAACATTGGGGGACACTGAGGTTTTGCTGCAGCTGTGCCAGAAATGCCTCATGGATCATCTATTGCTTGTTTCCAAAAATCTCTACGATAGTTCCGCATAGTATTCCCTGTTCTTCCATCCCCCTGTTTGTAGGGTTTATTTTTTATAAAGTACCCAAGTGCATGGTAGCGATACATGTATACTGTACTAAAACCTTTTTCTTGAAGATTTTAGGTCTGCACTGTACTTAACACAGAAAATTGCTAAAGCAGGGTTGGGCAAAGTATGGACCCCTCCCATATTGATTGATTGATTGATTGTTTATTTAACTTATATGCCTCCTACACTGCCCAAACGTCTCTGGGCAGCTTGCAACAATTTGAATACAATAAAAGGATAAAAAGATAAAACAATTAAAATACATGGTTGTAGGTTTTTCAGGCTGTTCTGCCGTGTTCTGAAGGTTGTTCTTCCTGATGTTTCGCCAGTCTCTGTGGTCGGCATCCTCAGAGGACAGGAGTCAGAATTCCATCAGGACATCTGCTCACTTCCTGTTTTTTTGTTCTATACCGTTTTGGCCAGCTTTGGCCATATCCAGGTTTAAAGTAGCCCGTAGGGACTGCTGGGGATGAACATGTACATCCCTCAGCCCCACAAAAGCTGTGCATCTCTGCCTTGGGGCATCTGGAAGGCTGAGGTTTGGCTGTAACTCTGAGGCACTGCTTTTATCTTTCAGGCTATTTGTGCGTGTACATGGAGAAAGATGAGTTGCTCGGCACCACCCTTATTCTGGCCTGGGTTCCCAACTCCCGCATTCAGAGGCAGGACGAGGAGGCCCTCCGCTACATCACACCAGAGGGCTCTCCGGTCCGTAAGGCCCCCCGCAAGCGCAACCGCCACACTCAGGGGTTTGGCACCCCTCTGCAGGCTTCCCCCTCTGAGCAGAAACGCGTCGTAACCCTAAAAGACGAGGAGGACATTTTGACTGTGTCGCAGTTGGTGAGGGATGTGGCTCATGTCAGTTCCCCTTCCGAAGAAGGGGAGAAGCTCTCCCAGGGTTGCCTGGCAACAGACAGCATCCACAGCTCTGCTCAGCCTGCCCACAGTGACTCAGGGATCTTATCGACACTCAGTTCTCAGGATGAGCAGAACCGGCTGGAGGAGTCAGTTGAGGAAGGGCTGGAAGGCCACCTGGAGACCGGAGAGGATGACGGCTCTTTGGAGTTGTCCGCCGATGATGTTAGCAGAGACAGCACCTTTGACTCGGACTCGGACGCCTTCTCTTCTCCGTTCTGTCTCTCACCCATCAGTGAAGCACTTGGGGAGAACGTCAGCTCAGTCTTCCTAGCTAATGAAAACAGGTGAGTCTGTCTATGCTCCGGCTCTCTTTTTATGGGTGGAGGCCAGAGGGGGAGTCCCGAGAGCAATGTCATCCAGGTGGGGAACCAGGTGTTCTGAGTTCCCTACCGAATTCTGTGCATGTCTCCCCAGAAATATAAGTTGCAGAGTGGAATGGGATTTATTCCTCTGAAGGTGTCTATTATGCTTGTAGCTAATCTTGTCAGGCCCGAGGAGCCCTGAAATGAATCAATTCTTGTAGCATCTTTTAACACTTCTGTGTTGGCAGCAGGTAAGGTTATGTTTCTAAGCAGAACAGCTTGCTCGTCTTGAGGGAAGTGAGACTGAAAGGCTGGTCTGTGATTCTGGGCAGAAGTTGCTGCCTGTTGTTTAAATATGGATCTTAGTGTAGCTACCTCTCAAGTATGTGTCTTTGGTGTCATCTTGGGAATAATTTCTAACTGGTTGCCCAGATTCCTTCATAACATGTTGCTTCATTCAGTTTTGGGGTATTTCTATACAGTTTACTGTGAATCTGGGGTACCTTTCACCTGTCTAAAGGACATAGTACTGGTATTTTCAGCACTGCAGATGATAGCTGATCTGTGGCATACTGTATGTCCCCAATGCGGACAGATTTGTAAATTGCTATTTGATTTCTCTCATGCCTCCCTCCAGAGCTTGCGGTGTGGTGGTTTGGAAATGCATTTTAGTCTTGTGCTCTGAAAACTACATCAGGTACAATTTGTCATCCTGTGATGAACTGCAAACGTGCTATTCCAGGGCAAAGATTTATATTTTCTCCATAGAATGTGATGGAAGTCACAACTCTCCAATTTATATGTTCCCTCATGTTCACAGTGTGGGGAGGATGCCCTCATGCGGCCTTTTGGTTAAATTGCAAAATGGCAGATAAGGAGGAACATAGCATTGTTACCATTTTTTGTTTTCATTTTCATCCTGAAACAGTTGCCGCTTTGGATTGTCCTGACTTCTTATTATACTTTTGATGTTACCTTAGTGACAGACAGAACCCACAACCACTGATGTGAGTTTCATAAGATAATATGTCAAGAATGTCTCTTGTTTCAGATGCATAATATTACAGTCCAAGTTATGCTGATTCCAAAAGTATTGAAAGCACTGGGACATCCTCCTGAAAAAACTTATTTTTGAGGAATATATTTTGTTGTTTAGTCGTTAAGTCGTGTCTGACTCCTTGTGACCCCATGGGCCAGAGCATGCCAGGCCTTCCTGTCTTCCACTGCCTCCCTTAGTTGTGTCAAATTCATGTTGAAAGCTTCAATGACACTGTCCAGCCATCTCATCCTCTATCGTCCCCTTCTCCTCTTGCCTTCACACTTTCCCAAAATCAGGGTCTTTTCCA